GTAGTTCAGTTTAGATGCATTGTGTTGATTAGCCTTGGAAAAAGTTACCCTGAGTCAAAAACTGTCCTATGCCCTTTATTCAGCTTGTACATTGTTAGTGCTAATTGACTATCTCAATGTAAAAATGCGTCTCTTTTTGCAGCTGTTATTCAGCAGCTGTAAACCACTGCAAATGGGCACCTCTGTGTTTGTTCTGGAGATTTTTAAGTATCTCAGGTGGTGCAAAGTAAATCAGTAAAGCAAACTGTCCCGGTTTCAGCCGGGATAGAGTTAATTTTCTTTTTAGTTGCTGGTACAGTGCTGCGTTTTGGATTTAATATGAGAATAATGTTGACAACACACTGAGGTTTTAGTTGGTTTTAAGTTGTTCTTACTCCAAATCAAGGATGTTTCTGTTGCCAGTGCTCTGCCAGTGAGGAGGTGCACAAGAAGCTAGAGGGGAACATGGCCAGGACAGCTGACCCAAACTGTCCAAAAGGATATTTTGTACCATAGAACATCATGCCCAGTATATAAATGGGGAAGGAGTTGGCCATGAGGTTCCAGTGGCTGCAGGGGGACAGGCTGGTTATCGGTCAGCAAATGGTGAGCAATTGCATTGAGCATCACTTGTTTGCCTTGCGTTTTGTTTCTTTCTCTCTCCATTTCATTACAATTAGTAGTAGTGTCAAATTATTACTACCTTTTATGTTTTGTTTCAATTATTAAATTGTTCCTGTCTCAACCCACAAGGTTTACCTTTTCTTTCCACTTTTTTCCTTCCTGGGGCAGGGGTGGGGAGAGCGAGAGAGCAGCTGCATGGGTGGGACTTGCTAGGGTTAAACCACAACACAAACTGTCTTGTCTTAGTTCAAAACTGAATGTCTAACTTGGCTGTAGACTGCAAGGAGAAGAAAGGTACTGCACACCAGAACGCTGAAGTCAGAGAGCAGGAGGATTACTGTGAGAAATTACCCCAAATTCCAAGGGCCTGCCTGACCAAACTTTATTATAACCACGTAGTTGCTATGGAAAGATGTGAACAAAAAAAAATTTAGTTGTGCTGGTACGTGCATGGCATATGCATGGGAATACAACTTGCTGAGAAGTTTGACTGTAGGAAAAATAATCCCCAGTCCTGTAAAGATGTTCTTACATGTCTAATATAGCTTCCATATTTAATAATAACAATTTATAATTATAAATACTATGCATAATTTATTAATACTAAATATAGCAAGTATTAAATCACGTAATGAGGCAAGAAATACAACGGGTCTGAATTTGAAAAATATAGAAATGAGCCTTTAAAGACCAAAGTGACAGCAAACTATTTCTGGACAAAACTAGAGACAGCTCTAGCTTTTATGATTTTTTAATTTAAAAAAGGTCAGAGAATGAAAATATACCCACATATAAGCTCCTAATATCTTTCTTGTTTGAAGAACTAGATCAGAATTTCCAGGATTGTCTATAAATGGAACACAATTTTCTACTGCTTCTAACTTCTCCTTCCTTAGGTTTCATAAGGGATAGCAATGGAAAAATAAGTTTGCTTTCCTGGAAATCTTTTTTCTTGTGGGGTGAGGGAGATGTGAGAATTTTCACCAGTGGTTTTTGTCTGAAAGAAATGACCTCATGTTTCCTCAAGGAATCTTTAAAACCCACACCTAGACACAAATGAATGCACATGGCTGCTGATGGAGAAGGGTGACATGATTAAAAACATGCAAGACCACCCGAACTCTACAGTTATTTTCTTCAAATAAACATGTATGGGAGTAGATGACTCATCCTGCAAAGTACAGACTCATTGATTTCAAACAGTTCCATTGGAACTTCCTTGTCTGGACTTCAGCAGCTTGGGGTTATTTATTTATTTCTGTATGAGTCAGAAGTTGTGAATAATGTTTCTGCTTAGTTGACCACAGAAGTGGAAGACAAAGCTCATACAATTTTTTGGAGAGTCAGAAATCAAATGATTGTCAAGAAAGAGAAGAGAGAAAAAGAAAAAAATTACAATAGCAGGAAGCACAGATATCATAGAGATGGAAAATTCATAGGTTTGGTTAGTCAGTAAATGAACATGCATCAAATCCTAGAATTTGTTGAAAATTGTAACTAAAAATTAATATATAAATACAGGCAGAAACTGCTCTCACTGAAGAGTAGAAAAGTAAACATATTTGATAAGCTCACATATCTGGCAAAAGTCAATGAGCAAAGGAAGTATTGATCAAAGACAAGAAAGCACTTAGCAAGTTTTGTAGATGTTTAAACAGTTATCCTGTTCATAGCAAATGAAAAATCATAGACCTTGACAAATCTAGTTCAGCCCTTTTTCCAAGGAACTGTCCCCACAAGATTCCTGGCCAGTGTTTGTCAACCTATTATAAAAGTTGTTCTGTTGATGGAAATCAAGCTTTTTCATGGGCTGTTTTACAATTCTCACTAAAAGAGTGATTTCACCTGTTATTCTCCTCATATCCAATCACCAAAGGAATTTTCTCCCTTTCTCTATGTAACTACCTTTAAAATTACTTGAACGCTATTTTCACCTCTCACCGTCAGTCTTTCCTGCACTAAGAAATTGAGTTCCCTCAGTCTTTTTTCACAAATCATGATTTCTAGACACAGTGTCAGTAAGCATGAAGATACCACTGAAGGGACAGAAGGATATTGAATCTTTTTCAGAAGAACTCTACAAGCACTGTGTCTAGGTGCTGGCTTTTGTCAATTTGACAGCTTCAGGAGCATTGTGAGTCTTTTTTTTTTTTTTTTTCTTGGTAACTGTCTTTGCTTTCTAAACGAATCTCAAATTCCCTACAGGATGTCCTGAGTAATATTGTTCAGTTCAAGTCATGTTCTAAAAAATGAAAAACAGCATCAACATCAGGTTTATAATAAGCTGAGAACAGGGAGAGTTCCTGATTAGTATTGGAGGTCTCTTCGATGAAAAATGTGACAGTGTACATCTGACTACTTTGCTAGGGGAAGAAGGGTCAGCTGGTAGTATAGTGCACCTAAGTATTGATGCTATGAGATATGGAATTAAAAAAGGAAATTTTAGCTCATTATGTAAGGGCAATTCTGTTGCCAGTCCTCATAATATGTGTATAATTCCATTCTGCAAAAAGCTTCCTGATAAGTGGCTTGTGAGGATAAGATCCACATTGAAAAAGGTACAAGGGTTAAAAGGAAGATTGCTTCATGGTCTTATCATGAATAAGGTTGTAAAAATGGATTCTAGTCTTCAGAAAAAAGTTACAGCCAAGATGGAAGTTTTAGGTTACCAACCAATTTAAAATACAGGTTTACTTCCAGCTTTACCATAGACTGCTGTTCTGATTTTAAGGTGAATTTCTGTGCCTTAGTTTTGCATTTGTAATGACTCACCATGAGTCAGGAGTGGATGACTCAGAGGTTGTGGACAGTACAGCTTCCATGGATTGAAATCAGAGTCAGCTTGACAGGTACCAACATGGAGTTTCCTGCAAGATACAGTAGCCCAAAAGACTAGCCATACTTGTGCAGTGCAGTTCATGCAGGTCTGCTACAATTTTGTTTTTTGCCTGAGACTGGCTTCAGCATTCATATTGTTATAACCTTTAAATATCTGAAAAAGGAAAATTGTAGTACTTCTTTTTCTGATTTGTTTAATCTGTGATGTTCTTCAGGCAATTAAATGAGCTACAGTTACAGTATTTGTATTTTTCATGGAACAGAGTACAGCATGATAATATAGTGTATAGCTGTAGTTATAAAAACATATAACTGACTTAGTTTTCAATAAGCTTTGTGTCATTTTAATGTACCTTTTAATGTACAAACTGGTTTATTTTAAATTATTGTCTATTGCTATTACTTCTTGGCTTTGAATTTTCACATTCCCTCTCTCAACTCTGCAATTTCTTAAGAATTTCAAATGTTCTGACTTAACATAGGTATCCCTATCTAACTAAAACAACCATATTCATCGAAATACCACTGTATTTCCTTCCCTAAAAGTTCAGAAATGTAATTGAGAAATGAATGTTCTGCAAAGACCCAGTTGCTTCTATTTGCTTAATAACTTAAGTCTCTCGGTATCTACCATGTGGTTCACAACTTTACAGAAGCCAAAAAAAGCAGATGGTCTGAATTCCCTTGTTCATGCTCCCTCCCCATTAACACAAATCATGAGAATCTATTCCTGAATATGGACTTGTCCTCTGAAGCACTGACGTGTTAAAGAAAGGCCATATAGTACCTGCTTGCATCAGACTCACTGAGTGCCTCCACTTTTAGTCCAATACTCCAAAATCTCATCTCGTTAATTATAATTTACTTTAAATACATGGTGAAATTAAAATCCATCCAAATATTTTAAAAAAAATAACTTTTGGAAACTAGATGTAAAATTAAACTTTGCTGTACACGTCATCCCAACTAGTTATTTCATTGCACCGATTTGTAACACGTCTGTCCTTGCTTGTGGACTTTATGAATGGTACTAAATAAGTAAGTAATTGGCCAAACATATATTAGATTTACCTCTTTCAGATCCAAAGCCACAGCACAGCAGTCTCCACTGTGAGCAGGAAAATGTGTGATTTCTGTCTATACTGCTGGGTGATAGATGTCAGTCCCACACGTACAGTCACTCCTGCAGTTACGAGATGCTATTCTGTGATCTTGATGGCCAGGCTTCCCAGCAGGTCTGTGAGAAAATGCATCATGGTTAATTATAGATTCCCATAAAACACAACTAATTTCTGAATAATTCAGCTGAATAGTATGAACTTTGCAGCTGAAACCATTTTCCATTATGAGATGGAACAAAATATACAGGTAGCATTGACCTCTAGTTGCATTAAGATTGGATTTAAGTAATTTCTTAAAATGAGGCATTCTTGAGCTTCCATTAGCTCTGTGAATGACCTCTAATCTCTAACACACACACAAAAAAGGCTTCTTAATCTGTATTGTAGAAAAATCCTACACACAGCAGCAGTGCCATCTTCTGCTTGCTTGCTTTCATGCATGCAAATACTCGATCTGTGTTGCAAAGCAACCCCAGGGAAGGTGCATTTTTCTGCCAGTAGGTAACTAAGGCAGCAACATTTTCCAATAGTCAGGGACAACATGTCTGGAGTTCCATAGATGCGAGCAGTTTTCACAAGTGAAGTTTTTCTGAACACAGAAAAGGACTTCAGTCATTTGTCCAGGTTTCTAAAATATCACATCCCAGTCAGAACAGCAGCTCAAAATGTGTACATTTCTATACTTATGCTGTACACAAGGAATACATTATACCTGTTAAATATGCTTCTGGAAAGTTATCTGGACATAAATGTACACTTTTGAACAGATATAACATATTCCCTTGGGGTTTGCACAAGTACAGCAAGTTCAAAGCATGAATGATTCACGTGCAGAGGAATAATTCAATGCAGTTGTGTTTTATTTGATCATATTGCAAGCATTTGTGTGGTCCAACTGCAGTAGATCCAACAGGTCCCAGATGTATCACACGTGCTCTGAATCAATAGCACATAAGCAAGGTAGAAAGCTGGAAGCCCAATTTCAAATACTTTCTTTAAAAAGGTGAAGTTGCGGTAAATTACATTTTTCCAAACCAAAGTTGCGAGCAAAAGGCACACTGAGCCTGTATGGCTCCAGGGACTTCCTCCCCACATCAAGGAAACAGCTCTGTTTGCCATGCAGTACTGGACAATGCATTGTTGGATGGAGCTTGTAGCAAACATTAGATATGAGTTTGATTGCATCAGAAAAACTGAAAAGGGAGAGAATTTCATTGTATGACTTTATCCTGTTGGAATATGTCCTCGGGGATTTTCACCACATGGACACAACAGAATGATGCTGACAATTATGAGCCTCCCTTTTCCATGCAGAGATGTATAAAATAGCTTCTGCCAAATGCACAAGATTTAATTGTTTTTAATTTTTAGAATATTGTAGCTAGATACTCCAGTCTGTGCTTTACACCAGACTTGCACTGATAACCTTTCACCTTTCCCCAGTAATAAGTGTGATAATACTGCTGCCTGCAGAGGGGTGTCCACCTTTACATCACCTAAATGAGGTGAGCAGGTGTATTCCCAGAATGCAGAGTTAGAATTACAGTATTATCAGGGTATTGTTTTACTGCTTATCATTAGCTGGGAGAGGACAGTTTATGCTTCTGAGAATATTCATAAACATTACAGTGCTTGGTACAAGGTCCCTTGCAGTCAGTCGTGCTCACTGAACTCCCTCTGCTGTGCCGATGTGTTATGGACCCTATTGACCAAACCTCGTCCTGCTTACTGATTCAGTTCTGGGACTGACATCACCCCCACCTTGATCAAGCATTGCTGCAGACTCAGCTTGTTGCCACTACTGTTGCCAGTTCAACCCAGCCATGCCCATCCCATAAATTCCTACGTATTGGGCTCAGAAATGCCAGAGGACACGTGATGCTTTTGCTTTTGGTTCTGGCTTGGAATAGAGCTAGACGAGAGTCTAGGAACAGAGGTTTCTACTAGATTGTTCTTGAACCTGGAAAGCTTTGCAAACCAGAATCTACTGTGAGTCATACAGGATGATCCAATTGCTCTTGGTTACTTGAATTCCTTTCTTGCACACAGTTGCATTCAGTACACAAGAGGATGGACAATTCCACGCAAAGCAATAAAATATGGAATGATGGGTAAGGCACTTAATAGTGAATGTAAATGATAATTTCCTAAGATAGATTTTCCCTTCCCACAGAATCACAAAGTTTCATTATTCTCATTTTCTCTCTTTTGAAGGCATATTTATCGTTAAGAACAAATTAAGAGCTACTGAAGAAATTAACAGGTACTGAAGAACAGTCTCTGTCACTGACTAGTGCAAACCTGTGGAGGAGTAAAAAGGTAAAACAAGTTCCTATAAAACATTTTGTTGATGAGATCTCAGTCCACACTCAGTTAATTGGCCTGTTTTGCAGGATTTAACCTGGTGGCATAAGAACCTGGAAATAAATCTCTTAGCTACGATTAGAGATGAAAGACAGATTAGCACGGGCAGGAGAGCTGAAGTCTTTTTCTCCATCTCCACTGGTGAGTCAGTGTGAAGACAGGACAACCAAAGAGACATCAGGAAATCAGTGTTTCCGTCATCCTTAGGATGTCTGATTCAGGTATTTTCTCCCTTGTATTCATCAAGTTACCAGCTTCAAGTTCCTGTTCAGTCCTCTGAAGCAGGTTAGTAGTTCCTTTTGAACTGTCACAAATAAGAATGTGTGTTTACCTACAATGGCAGATTTTAGCAAAATCAGTAAAATAAGATGTGATTTGTTTATGGCAAAATTGCAAGCCAAATTTCTTTGGACAATTTTTATCTAATAAGTAAATGTTACTAACAAGCAAATAGCTGTGCTATGTCATGTTCTATGTAGTTAGGGGAATTTGATAGCAAAGGAACAGGTAGGTGGCATCTTGGCAGCAAAAAGCTACTGTATGGTGATTGAAGCTCTGTTTAAAGTGAGTTAGACAAGAAAAGCTTGAGAACGGTATTGATATTAGGGGAGAAATTTACATATTTATTTGGCTTCTTCTGTTGAAAGAAATATTTCTCCCTTTATAGAATAAAATCCAGTTTGCTCTGCCATAACCAGGGGAAAAATGTCTGTGTGTATATGATTCATAACTCTGGAGTGGCTTATGTGCACAGGTGTCTAAGAACTTTGATAGAGGTGTTAGTTCCACTGAACTGCTGGTTTTGGTTTTACAGTAACCTGCTGCCAAACATAACTCAGAGGAGAACAGATACATGTTGCAGAGCAAGACTGACACTTTTAGCTCATAATTGCACTTCAGTTCTTTCATCTGGAAGAACTTTCTTCCTGGTGCTCAAAAAATGCTACTGCATGGCTGTTTTAGTGTTGCAATACATTTTATGCAATAGATTTATTCAATACTTCATTAAACAGTTAGGAAAAGAAAAATGTTGCGGTGTATTTATAAAATTCATTATGATGGCAAGAGAGTCTTCTCATTATCCGAAATAAATCCAGTAAACTGTTAGCATAGGTAAAACTAATCTCAAGATAAATATCCATGCAGAAGCTGGGAACACAGGAATGGAATGGGTAACTGGTTCTTCTGACCCATACCCAACGCACTCAGAGTTTCATAAGCAGCACAGTGTGTCCCAGAGATCCTTTGTGCAATCCAGGTATATCAGTGATCAGAATCAGTCAACAAGTGGTCACTGCATACAACAAGCCCCTCCTCTGGCACTAGGGCTCATATGATCCTATGCTGGTGGAGGACTGTGGCGTGGGTACCTCTGTTAGATGAATGTGAATATTCCACGAAATCTGGTCTTACAACAATACTAAAATTGCACCAAGGAATCTGGAAAAACCATATGAGAATTACTGGAGGCAAGGAATTACTAGGAGAGTTTCTCTTGCACAGAATTTTTTTTTTTTTTTTTTTTTTTTTTAATTTTAGGCATCTGAAAATGGGGGAGGGAGCTACATCAGAATAGCTACTTGAGAATGAACATAGCCCTGTTTATGGAATTCAGCATCAAATTTCTCTATGGTTAGAATATGACAGAAAGTCTCAAATTAAAAAGCCTCCCAGCTTACAGTAATGAATAGCTAAAACTTTCCCCCAAAGAAGGATAATAGTCTGTTAAACTCAGCTTTACACTTGAGCCTCAGTCTCCCCTTATGCCACAGGGCCCCTCCGTGAGCTTAGACAAGCTGGTGCCCTCTCTGAAGTAGCGATGGCCCCAAGCCTGCCAAAGCTCGGGGAGCATTTGGACAGTGCTCTCAGGCACGTGGTGGGATTGTTGAGGTGTCCTGTGCAGAGCCAGGAATTGGACTCGATGATCCAATTTAGGTCCCTTCCAACTTATGATATTCTGTGATTCTGTGAAATTTACATCTTCCAAAATCAACAATGCCTTTTGAGTAGATGAATTTTAAGTAAAGGTAGAAATATTTGCAAGTTTTGTTGAAATGTTAAAGCAAAACATGTTTGGCAAGTAGGGTGTTTTCAGTGACACTGTAACTATACATGTGCCTAACAATTTAGAGGCATTTTACAAGTACATACATATATTTCATAGAAGCAAACAGTGCATGATGCATTCATTCATATATACTGGCCATGGAATGTGAACTGCATAGCAGCAGTCAGGGAATTTCACAACAGATTCTCTCTGGTGTGAGCTCCCTGACCTGAGTATCAGGGACAAATAAACCTATTAGCAGCCGTCATCTACAGCTATTTAAGGTCAAGTCACGAACTGCTTAACTGGCAAAGCAACCAAAGATACTGTCTCCAGGCTTATCAGGCAGGCTGTCTGCTGAATTCACATGGGGGCTTAATTCTGTGCCAACAGAGCATGATCCTTTCAAATAAGGTCTAAAAGATACCCTAGAAGAACCGTGTGAAGAAAGTGTTATAGTTTTACAAATGACTATTCTCAGGACTTGTCTGCACAGAGGTGTCTGTCATCGATGCGATTATCACACTGTGATCACAATCAACATTCATCCCATTCTGTGTGGGACTGACATTTAGGATTCTGACTGGAATATGGGGGGCTGTAAAGAAAACCAGTCTATGGTTGGTGGTAGGAGGGTTGGATTAAGGTGAGATTGTCACAGTTCTCAAGACAAAGAGCAAGCAACTTTAGCTGCAGGAGCAGAGGTTAAGACAGTAACGGGGATTCCCTGAAGATTAAATAGGCCTTATTTAATACATCATGCTATTCCAAGAACCGTTTTTTAATAAGAACTTTCAGAAAGAAAGGGAGGTCTATCAGAGAAAAAACAGAACATCCTAAAATGCTGATTTTTAAGGTGTGAAGATGTTCTGCTTTTTTTTTTTTTTTTTTTGTAGGGTGATTTGTTACTTCACATAAAAATGCAGTGGAGGATGTTCACCAAAAATATATTCAGGTCATAACACTTAAAAGTTAATAAAATTTTGATAATACTTTCTAGAAAACCAGCACAGTCATCGATAGTTTAACTATTTGTATAACATTTTGTCTCTGTTGATAACAGCAGTCATTTTGCCCCTGCAGTTTTTTGCCAGAGCGATCATATCTTAGTACTGTACATGTGAGGATAACACTTTCTTTTTACTAGCAAAATCACATTTCACTGTACATAATTAATGAAATTACTAAAAATACCCATAGGATACTCTGTTTCTGTTACTTTCACATTTTTTTCTATAGGGAAAAAAGGTTTATGTGGTTATTCTGTATATATTTGTGTTTGTCCTGCTTACTCAACTTTTTAACACAAACCTAGCCATAATAAAGTAATCTAAGAATAATAAATACCTGTAATTGTCAAGAACATACAGGCAACAAGTTCAAGGGAAAAAACACTGTGAGTGTTCTGGAAGGAAAGCCAGCAGCCCAACTCACTTCTAGACATCAGAAGACCTGCACAGAAAATTTCCCTTGACAAAAATCCACAGAAATCTAGAGTCATTGGTTGTACTGTTCACTTGTTTATAATTGCTCTAGTTTGTCCTTAGATTTTTTTTTTTTTTAAGTGTATGGAATTTAAGCAATAAATTTCACTAGGGCATTCCCTGGGCAGGACTGAGAGTGCGTGAGGCTGCACAGGAAGTTCTCTGTAGTCTCTATAAATGGTCCATAATACCTGGTCAAACAGACAGTAATCTCTCTCTCTCTCTCTCTGTCTTCTTCAGATTTCTACTGCATGCCTTGGACACATGCCCCTAATCCGCTTACGAGCTTCCCTTGACCTACACTTCTTTTCCTAACGCTGATCTGACTATGGCTGTTCTCAAAGTAAAATTCACCAAAACTAAGAGGGACAAACTGGCCCAGATCTTATGGATACTCAACTGGGTTTCTGTAGTGAGCGGGATCATTCTCTTCAGTCTTGGCCTCTTTCTGAAAATAGAGATCAAGAAGCGCAAGGAAGTGATGGCAAAAGGGGACATTAACTCTGTCCCCAACATGCTGATCTCTGTGGGGGTCATAGCATGTATCATCAACTTTCTGGGTGGAAAAATCTGCTACGACTGCTCAGACGCCAACAAGTTCTCTCGATGGAAACTTGTTATGCTGCCATACATTGTATGTACCTTCTGTTTTACCTTCTGCATCCTGGTGGGTGCTCTCATGTGCTACACCATGAGGAACGAGCTGGAAGAGTCTCTCTACCTGGGACTGAGGGATGCTATAAAGTTCTATAAGGACACGGACATACCTGGACGATGTTTCTTAAAGAAAACAGTGGATTTGTTACAGATTGGATTCCATTGCTGTGGAAACAATGGCTTTAGAGACTGGTTTGAAATTCAGTGGGTATCTCCTCGTTATCTGAATATGGCTTCTAAGGAGGTTCAAGAGTAAGTATTTACTAGTCATAATAAAAAAATCTAGGAGAAGAATTAATTCAAGAAGACAAAGTCTTTTTACTGGACCCATGTATCTTAATAAAGAATGACCACATTACTTGCAAAATACACTAACTACATGCACAAGCAAAGGTTGCCTTTTGCTAACCTTTTAGGGACGCTAAGCAAAGCAAAGATGTATCTTTCCTTTTTTAATGTGGTGAGTTAGCTACCTCAAAAATTTAATTTCAGTTACAGTGAGCTGATAATGGAAAGAAAAAAAGGACTGTACTATCAATACATTGCACAGTCAATCCTAAACACTGAAAGGCCTTTCTCCTTCAAGGTATTAGATTCTGCACAGCCAAGTTCAAGTCTGTATGTTCACAGGTGAGAAAGTGCCAATCATCATGTACACTGAATAAAAATTAAGAACACTTTACCTTTTTTTTTTTTTTCTTTTTTTGCTGGTAGTGCTTCACATGATGTAGCAACTGTGGAATTATATGTTCAAAAAGAGGACTGGTAATACTTATAGACAACAGAAAAAATAGCATTAAAATTTCTGTAAGTAGACAATTTAATATGTAATAATTCTTCTAAAGCAGAAAAAAGTTCTCACTGACAAGAGTGTAGTAGCTTTGTATTCCTTGGAAAGACAAACACAAAGAGCTTGACTGGCATTTGTCAAGTGCTTTGTTTTGTTGAACTCAAAAATCAGTGACAATAAGGGCAGAGGAAGGGAGGCCAAAGATCTTATTTTATCTAAATTTGCAACTTGGAACTGCCATCATAGCAAAGTGTATATACAGAGTTGCAAATATGCCAGAGTGCAGGGCCTAAGAGAATACAGATAAGAGGTTATCAGCCTGCATAAACAGTTCTCTGTGGACATAGAGCAGGATTTACAAGTGCTCACAAGAGAGAAGTTAGGAAGTATCACATAGAACAGACTGCCCCAGAGATGCTTTGAATCCTGGTTCCACAGGGAAAAGGGACATGACAACAAAGAACTAAAAAGTAGTATCTTATTGTGAGGTTCAAAAGTAAAATATCCTGCCTTTTATTTCTGCAAGGCATGCAGAAACAGTAATGTTTTATCCAGAGTCTTAACTAAACCGTTTTCTTCTGCAGGGTCACCTGTGCTCTGCAAATTATTTTGAGAATACACTGTCAGTTAATTTTTGTCCCATTTTGGCAGAAGATGACAGTGAAACGTGTGTGAGGGAAGTAATTTCAGAGCTTCTTTTGCTGTGAATAAATTGGTTAATTTCAGCTGGACTGCCAGGATAGAAGTTGGTGCTGTATGACCACATTATACTACGATTTCGAAAAGTCTGGTAGTGAAACATTTAATTAATGTGAAATCATTGGAAGCAAAGCCCAGCTGGTAATGTTCAGAAAGGATGGAGAAGGAATCAAATTTTTCTTGGTTTCAACCTGTACTGTATGTCAGTTGGAAGATTAAGAGGCAAAGCAGCTGAGAACTGACATACTGTCAACTTACATGTAATCTTTGTAAAACTGAACTTTTCACCTTTCTCCATGACCCTTTTCCCTCCCCTCTCTTCTATAGCTGCACTGCCAACACCTTAAAGTGACAAGGCATGGAGACAATCAATGGGAATGGTCGGAAGATGAGGCAGGTTACAGTAGTACAATCCTGTCATTGCTTTCGTTAGGTGAAAATCATCTTTTTTTTTTAGCCTTAAAAGTAATTTTTGCTTGACAATACCATAACAACTTTGAATTGCAACAACAAATAGCGTGAATGCCTCGCACACTGACCCAAGTTACTGAGGTCTTCCCTTCTAACAGTACCAACGTTCTTTAATTTGCCACTGACAGAGACAACACAATGGCAAGATGACAAAACCAAGTCTGGAAACTGATGCTGTTGGCAGTAGAAAGAAGATTCCCCTTTATAACATATGGCACAAAGAATTAAAAAAAAAAAATAGTTGAATTGATGCTTGGGATCAAAAGAAAAGGTTAAGACCCAGTTTAAGAGATTGTATTTTATCCATTTTAGATGCTGTACTGTATCTGGGTCATTAAATATACATGAAGCCTTAAAATATAGAGAGCATTTTCCTGAACCTTTATAATGTGCCAGTCTTCCTCTCCTCCCTTTGAGAGTTTTCTCCTCCAGCATTCATCCTCCAGTCTTCCATTTTGTGCCTCTCTGACTCTGTTCCTCATTTCCCTTTCATGGTTTTGCCTGTGCCCATGACACAGCTCACACACTTCAGTATAGTTTCAGTGCATTATTTGGCTTCTTTGCATTGGCCACAAAGTGAAGAGCTAGACTTGAAAACAGAGAGGAATTCACGCCTATCTCACTCCTAGGTGGGAAATGGCAGATGAACTTCCTGACTTATTTGGTTTGAGGAAGATGGTTTTGAGAGAACCTTAAAACAAAACACACACCAGCACCTGAATAAAAAAGAAAAAAAGGGATGAGAAGAAACAAAGGAAAAAGGAGGGGAGAAAAAAAAAAAAAAGGAAAAATAGAGAGAAAAAAGAAAAATGGGGCAGGGGAAGAAGGTTGTATTTAGCAGGGTCACAGCACTAAAATAAAGGTAATTATTCTGCCATCAAAGCACTGCCACAAATACTGAGCTTCCTAGGAGCTTACGTTTCATTTGAAAGTACTTCTCTTTAGGTAGTGCATCTTTGTGTGGACTTCTGTTTTCAAGCAGTATCTTTGTGCTGAATGAAGTAAAGATTTCATGCTAAAGAGAAGGTAATACAAGGAAAACAGGTATCACAGATTCATTTAACTGTTCCAGAAAATCATGATTAATCTGAGACTCAGTTCTCTTCCCATCCCATTCCCATTTTTTTTCTTATTCCTATTTTATCTTTCCTCTTTCCACATGTTTTCCTCCTGATCTTATGGGGGAGGGAAAGGAATAATTTTTATTAATAAATATGGTTTTTAAAGTTACAAAAGTATAGTTATAAGAAGCAGAAAATCCCTTGTGAATTAGTTTCAGAATATGTGCTGAACTAGCCATTGCAATGGGTACAGCGATGAAAGGCCAGTGGACAATTTCCAGTGCTTCTCATGGCATGCAAAGTTATTCTTGTCTTAGGTTCTCTCCTAAGGAATGACTGAATTGAAAATCAACATGAGATAATGAAACAGGATTTGAAGGGACATAACTTCCATTAGAGTTCCACCAAGATAAAGAGGTTCAGAAATTGTCTTTAGTATTTTCAGCACAAAGATACCTAAAAAGGAAACATCTCTGTGAAAACTGAACTCACATCTTGTGGCACAGTACCACAAACCAGGTGAGGTGCTGTGCTTGTACCAGACTTAAATACAGACCATTAAAAATTCCATTTTCCTGTAGTAAGCAACTTTTCCTTTGAAAATATATCCCCATTTTCCTTTTGTTACATTGGAGAGGCCTACATTGCAGCAGACTTGCATTATTTCCTCTGCTAAAATCACAGGCCCCACCTGCTGCTGACACGACTTTTGTAATGCCCAAACTTTCTGTCCTGTTGCAGCCGTCTAAAGAGCAACGTTGACGGGAAGTTCCTGGTGGATGGAGTACCCTTCAGCTGCTGCAACCCCAGCTCCCCACGGCCCTGCATCCAGTACCAGTTGACCAACAACAGTGCTCACTACAACTATGATTTTCTGACGGAGGAGCTCAATATCTGGGTGAAAGGGTGCCGAGAGGCCCTACTGGATTACTACACCAATATTATGAGATCCATTGGCATTGCAGCATTGCTTATTTGGTTGTTTGAGGTAAGTCTCACAAAAATGGTCTGTGTCAGATTAATCAGAGTCTTCTGTCTCTATAGGACGGGAAACAAATATGGTGTAACATGAGAAGTGCCTCAGCAACCAAAGTCCACAGGCACTTCAGGAATGTTGCAGGACTTCCTTTAGTGCAGGACTTTCATAAAGTCCACAGAGCAGAAGCAAATCTCGTTGAAGATGAGGGCTATCAGAAATTATGTATATAATTCTGCATATTTACAGAGCATATTTCCTTCACTGAAGCACTTACTAGATCAGATACAAAACAATATATGCACTGACGCAACTGCAAGGGAATTATGTGGTAAGGTCTGGGGGTTGTTTTAAGTCTGTTTTAACAAAGAATATACAAAATGTGAGCAGGTCTTTGGCTTAGTAGATTAATTTTGTTTATAGTTAAAATTGAGCGTAAGTATTAGTATCTCAAAGCCTCCTTTTTACATTATACATTCACCATATAAAGAGTACCTGCAAACATGGCACTGATTATGCTGCTGATAATGCAATCAAAATAAGCGCACCATAGGGAAGCATACACCCCTGCAAAGCTGCAGTCTTCCTGCTGATGTCTATTAAGAGAGTTATCTGGATGTTGTCATCCACAAGTAAAGGACCCTCAGTGGCACAGGCTGCAGTAGAGTTTTCTCGTCTTTTTAGTAAGTTTTAGTTTTCTGATTACTGCTCTATTACATAAATATTAGCACTGTAATTAAAATAGTTCACAGTCCTCAAGCAGTGCTGGGTGGTGGTGCCAGAAATAACAGGCCTTTGGCAGATTGTAAAAAAACTGTGCTCTCTGTGCTCCCTTAAATATTGACAAGCTGGGCATGCTGATCTCAATTGTAACAGAAACCAGGATAGCGGGGCTTTTTCCAAAACTTATACTTGAGCCTCTGCTATAGGCCAGCCTTTTGAGTTTTCATACCTTGGCATGTAGGACACATATGGCTTACATATGAATGATGAAACCTCCTTGGAGGAAATATTGATTTAATCAAGGTCAGTGGGGAAAAAATCCATGGAAATTAACATAGCACAATTTTGTTTTCCCAGTGGCCAATGGTTCCACTAATTGATCATCCATTCTACATCGATTAGTTCAGTCTCTGAGGCTGCAGGGTTCCCGAGTAATTCTAGGTATTTATATGCTAATAACATGCAAGGGGGATTGTTATCTGAAGAATGAAGAGAGAATCAATCCATCTCTCCCTTGTATTATTCTTTCTAAAAAAATGCAATTAACTGGTAGAGCGGTTAGATATATTGCTCAGACAATGTTTGTCTGCTTGACTCAATACTAGTTATGAGGCCTCTAAACACTTAAGTCAGAAAGCTGATTTAGTGGTAGGGTTGAGGCTGTGATTTCAACTCGCTGTTTAACCCATTCACTGTTTCTTACAGCTCTCTGTACTTATTGGTGTTCGGTACCTACAAACAGCCATGAAGAATGTCCTTCTGCTCGGAGATCTGGAGGGAGAATCAGATGGTTGGTTACTAGAAAATAGTTTTGTGGAAACTGCCAAATACAACATCAGTATCATTAAGAACCTCGGCAAAGCCAACCAGATCTCCACTGTATCAGGCATGAATGACCCTAACATTAATGTTCAAAACACAGACTGTGGCAAAACCAATCTTACAACAAAATCTATCCCTGCAGCTAGGTAGGCAAATCTTCAAAGGAATGACATCACAAGTGTAGCTTTGCTGTATTACATTCCTACAGTTACCAGATTTTTCACTGGTGGGGTAAAAAAGGAAAAAAAAATGAAGACAATTGAACAAACCACAGACTGGTGACAGCTCCAAAAATGCTGATACTTCTATGGATGGATGCATTTTTACTTGAGAAATCCCTGATTTTCAACACTGCACAGAACTTTTGGAATTTTTCCCACTTTCTCTCCTTTATCTACAGAATTCTATCATGGTCTGAACGTGCCAGAGTAATCGCTATGCACAAGCAAATGTTCCAGAGAGGATGGGTCTATATCTACTAACATACAGATTGGTCTAATATGTACCAAAGTTTGTCATTACTGTCACTACACCTACAGAAATCCCAGCAACTGGGAAATCCCAAAAGAAATTATTGCACTTGATAAAAAGATTCTTTACAAAAAAGACAAAAACCAAAATGAAAGCTCTGTTAGTCCAAGATAGGAGAGTTACTTTTAGATGAAATGTACCTATATTGCAGCCCTTCAAACAGAACCTACTAGCCAGGTGAAACTGAAGGCAAGGAAAGTTACCATAATGTACTTAATTTATTTTTCCCCAAAAGTCTGAAGTATGTTTTCATTTTTTCCCCTCTATAGTCTAGGGAAAGCCAGCTGCCACACCTCCCTGAAAGTCAAAGGGTACTGCTGAAAGGAGTTCTCTGCTTAAGAAAACTGACAACTCTTGCAAGGATATTTGAAATTCCAAGTAGCATGTGATAGCCTCAGTTTAAAAACAAGGATACACCTCCCCTAAAACAAACACTGATGATGCTTATAAGCTCCTCATTTCAAAGGTACTTAACACATTGATCCAGGGGCAGGAAGATAAGGGACTATGTGAAATCAATGAAGGCTCAGGAACTTTGTCAATGCATGGAATGAAAGCCTTCAATGCCCAAGACACTTGTAGTTACAGGATGCCCTATGACATTAATTCATCATTAGTAGTAAGCAGGAAAAACATATCGATACAAAATAGAGGTTAAAAGACCAAATAAAGTATTTTACTTGTTACTGCTGTGACTGCATTCTTTGTGAATAATCAAGTAAAAGAAGTTATACCACTGGGATATTCAAAGCAGCACTATTCCTGCTTTTGAAATTGTGCAGAAGTAAAAGTAAAAATTCCTTTAATTAACAAGTGTTGTATTCTGTAACACTAGAAAAAGCAAGGATTATACTGTAAGCATATATTGTAAATAAATTGTGCAATGTAATAATCTGGAGTGTAATTCAAGCAGGCTGTGTGCATGACCATAATTTCAAATGCAACTGCTTCACTGCTTAACATTTTAGGTCTATACTTAAGTATGGTAAAACTCCTTCAAATAACTAGGTTTGTAAGCTGAGACCTTCTACAAGAGCCATTAACTCTTCCCTTTGCATCGCATTTACCTGTGTCTGTACTTCTAGTCTTCATTGCAATCACTTTGCCCAGTGTGGAATTAAAAGTCAACCGGTGCATAATTCCTTCAGCCACTTCTGAGAGTCAAAAATACTTACCAGCTGCTCTATAATTAGCTGATACAGACTGGAAAAGAATGAATACAGAAAGTTGTAGTGCCTTGAGAGATCAAGGAAAAAGACTGTCATATACTGCAAATTAATCAGATTTCCCAACAGCATATAGGGTTCTATAAATGCAGTATATTTTTCTTCAGGTAAGTATGCAAAGTGCCACATGTTTCAGTCAACAGCATTCTCTTCCTCAACATAATTTTAGTCCACCTACATTTGGAAAAACAGATCTCAATAACCAAAAGCTGTAAGATAATCAGAAATAACTTAAGAGAAAACCAGAAATTACTCCTGTAGAGTTTTTTTTAATTAAGAAAAAAATTTAATCTAGTGATCTAAGAATATGCAAATTCTAGAAAATAAAATGCTTTCAACAATTAAAAAAGAGAGGAATGGTTCAGCATGATGAAAATGGTTGTAAATCAGGATATCAGAGCATAAAGAAAGAAAATCTTACTTTGTATTTTAGGAAACATTTCCATATTTCCTAATGGCAAAACACATTTAACTGTAGAAACAGATGAAACATTTTGCACCACTTAAAAATCTCTTGGTCAAGTCTTGAACTTGCAGAATTACAAGAACAGTGAGTTTACTCTTTTGCTAACTTTCTAGTTGATGGATTTGTCGAGAATCTGCTCTGAAAAAATAGATTTGGAACTGACCATGCAGCCTTAGAATCTCTTTAAAGACACAGAAATGTCAAGCAGTAGTTGATGTAACATATTATCGTGAAGAGCAGAGGTGTAAGTGTCCAGCTACACATCTTCCCTGGCCCCCACAAAAGCTCATTTATTTGCATATGAAGAAAACACATTTTACCATAAAAGAGCAGTTAGCATTTAGCAAGTTAACCTTTGTCTCCCAGCCAACTGCCAGAAACTGCAGAAGTGGAATGTGGTTGCTTTTGAAATTAACTGAATTTCAAAATACATTTCACAGGGAAAAGTCCTTGTCTGGCCTATTACCAGTGATTACTTAGTCATTAGATTGTTGATTTCTATCTTGTCTAGGCATTCAGTCTCATCCATAGAGACACATTACAAAAAGATGATAGCTCATTTCACAGTAATCCTGATAAAATTTACTTTTCTTAATAAAGGCTTTCTTCTCTGCTTTGTTTTACTGGTTTCCCCAGAAGGTGGAAGCGCACCCTATATATCCAGCTTCCTTTACAGCACCTGTCACAATAGTTTGGATTTCCTGACGTATTTAACATCACAGCCCCAGGCCAAGACAACAAACTCAAGTAGCAGCACAGACTCCACCTTAATTCTCTGTAATTGTTAAAGACAAAGACGGCATTAGCGAGCCAAGCCTTTAAGCCCAGGCATATGCTCAGATACAGAAATAAATGCGACTTGAGGTACACTTCTTATCCTACTTGTTATTAATGCTTAATCCAGTCAGAATTAATAACAAAATAGCAACTTCCAGAGCAAGGCACTCATCTACGCATGAAACTATTTTCTTTATCAAGTTCTTAATTAAAACAAAATTAGAGAAACACTGTAATGTTCAGTTTCTGCTGAAGGCACTACGACAGCTTCTATAATTGCAATTACAGCACTCTAAAGCTTTCTGATTACCACTGAAAACACTTGCTCTACATTCATCATAAAGAAAAAATAATTAGCAAGAAATATAAAAATGCACATTTAGGGTCTGGTTAAAATGAACACTAGACACAGCTCAAGCAGGAACTCTGGTACACTGGGATGAGCTCTCTGAGCACTAAGCCTGTATCTCAACACTTGTACCCACCTCAAGAGGCCAACATTACATTTCAGGTACACTTAAGAAGGAGGAAACAAAAGGTTCTCCAGTCTACTGAAAAAGACTAACCATGGCTCTTCACAAATACAGCAAGGACTCAAAACAACCATAAAATCCACAGCCCTCATTTTGTGCTTCACAGCATTTTGTTGCAGTTTATTCATTCAAGTATGAAGTCTAGAAACCTCCTAAAATTAAGTCTGATGGATGTAAGTTGTTTGACACTGATTTCATAATCACACAGAAATGAAAAGGAAATTCAGGTCCCATTTTAATGTTTCACATTTAACTTCATACCAGGTCTCCTCTTACTCACCATTACAGGAAATCATGTATTTAATCCCTCAGAATTTCAGATGGCTGTCCTTCAGTGCACATTTCCTTTCCATTCACTACGGTCAAAAGCAAAGCTGCATAAGTTTAGAGAAATGTAGCTATAATTAGGAATAACTAGATTTGAGAGACTTGTATAGGAGTGGATTTTCATTACTAGCCATTTGTTTTCTGTATCAACTGTTTTCTGTATCCCTCAAATTTAGTCTACCTGCAAAATACTCATAAAAACTAACAGAAGAGACTTGTGCTACAGAAATTAAACAACTTCCATTTTTGAAGAAGGTAACATTGAGGATCTTTTTAAGTAACAGGTTAGAAGAATCTAAGTAAGAAATGTTGTATCATGAATCTGAGTAACTTACAATGGAAATTATTCAGTGATACTGGCTAGAAAATAAAGTGTATTTCAACCGTAAAGCAAAGCACACGATGGCCAAAATATTCCTCTACATTTTTCGTACACTGAGGTTTTTACTATGTAAGAAATAGTGCTGTGACTTTTTTCTCTTTTTTTTCCTAATTAATAGGATTCTTGTTCTAATATTCTTCAGAACACTTTTACCAGAACACTTCAATCTATCTTCCTCTATCTTTTACCTTTTCAAGAATTGGTTCTTAAAACACATTTGCTTTACTAAGAATATGCATAAAAAGCAACACCATCAACACCCAAATCCTGTAAGCTTAACGGTGCCCAAAGCTATGACAGCATTGGATGTGATGACAGCAGCCTGTAACATAAAAAGGGGCAAGAAGTACTGACCATTTCTATGTGAGAGATTTCCCGACTGTTTGCTTAGCTCTATAATAAAACACCTTTTTTTTTTTTTTTTTTTAAACATGTATCACAGAGCACATTACACCAGCACCACAAGGCTTCCCTTTCTAGAGGTGGCTACAACAAACAGTTCTTATCTGACAAGATACAAAACCAGAATCGCTCAACTAGGACATCTTTAGGGCATCTAAATATTAAATTCTGCACTTAAGACTTATTTTACAAATCGAGGTAGACACTGCAGGAATTTGCATCTACAAAATACTGGGACAAGTTTCAAGTGGCATATTTCTTTACCTAAGAAAAAGCACAGTATCACTGCTAATGGTACAACAGTGATGCAGACTACAGGGGTAACTGGTACTGTCTACCAGACACCGCTATGATGCTCTTGTAAATACAACTGTGAGGTGTCAAATAAAAATGAATAATCTACGAGAAGTTACTTTATTTCTTTTTTTTTTTAAATATACATATACAAGATATTTTATTTCAAAAGCACAAGAACATTATACAAGTTTCAAATTTACATTTTTGCAATTAAAGATACCAGTATGTGCATTATCAAATAACTTCTGTCAGCTTGGATGGAAATCAGTGGCATAAGCATCTTGTAATCACTAAATACAGATTATACTCACAGTGAACAAAACTGCATAGTAATTTATGAAATGAAAGATGACCACGCTAGTCCATGAATGACATGGGAGCCCATTTGCTAAATTAGTATGTGCAAACGTGCAGGAAGATGCAACTTTCTTCTCCCATTTCTTCAGCTGCAAAGAGATTTCTAGAGCTTTAAATGAGCTCACCTGCTCATAACCAACTCCTGTTCTTATATGCTACAGTTCAGACAGAAAACAAAACAAAGTGATCTCATTGCATATTTGACAATGGAATTTTTGTAACAGTGAAGTGTGAGATAACAAAGTTTTTGATAAAGGAATTAGTAAATATCAGAGGGAAACAGTAAGAGAATACAGCTTGGTATCAATGAGGCATACATCTGCTAGTATTAATTCAATATTTTTGTTGGTAAGAAGTGTTTTGATGACATAAAAATCACCAGTGCATGCAAGTTTTCATGACAACTGTTCTAAATTCAGTATGTGAAGACTAACAGAATTAACGTTTGTCTTCAAAGAGTTTAATGTTTGGGTTTAAAATCTGATAGAATCAAAATAAGGAGAATGGTCTTAATTTCAAGAAATAGAATACCTTAAAAATATACCCAAGCCAACTTTTTGTACCACCAGGGAAGGATTACAGCAAAAGTTTTTAAGAAATATTTGAAACTAGAACAATATTTGAGTTCATTGGTATTCCATTTTGAGATTAGTTATGGTGCTGTTCAGAGCACTCATACATACATACTCAAAAAACTTTATTAAAAAAACAACCAAAAACCAGGAAAAGAATGATATTTAAATCTAAATCATTATTTG